TAAAAAATTGTGATAAAGTATACATACAATTTACCATATTAACCATTTTTAGTGTATGGTTCAGTAGTGTTAAGTACATTTACATTGTTGCACTCTCAACCTCTAGAATTCTTCATCTTGCAAAACCAAAACTCTACATTCATTAAACAGCCAGGCATGGTGGCATACACCCATAGTTCCAGCTACTCGGGGGGCTGAGGCAGGAGGGTTGCTTAAGACCAGGAGTTCAAGGCTGCAGTGAGCTATGATTGCATCACTGCTCTCCAGCCTGGGACACAGAGCAAGACCCCATCTTTAAAAAATAATAATAATAGGCTTGGTGCGGTGGCTCATTATAGAATCCCAGCACTTTGGGAGGTCAAGGCGGGCGGATTACGACGTCAGATCAACTAACTGGCTAATAGGATGAAACCCCGTCTCTACTAAAAATACAAAACATTAGCCAGGAGTGGTGGTGGGCACCTGTAGTCCCAGCTACTTGGGAGGCAGAGGCAGGAAAATCACTTGAACCGGGGAGGCGAAGATTGCAGTGAGCCGAGATCGCACCACTGCACTCCAGCCTGGGTGACAGAGTGAGACTCCTTCTCAAAAATAAATAAATAAATGAAAATAAAAATAAAATAATAACAAAAACATGTTCATTAAACAGCTCTCCATTTCCTCTCTTCCCAACCCCTGGCAACTACCATTCTAATTTTTGTCTCTAAATTTGACTACTCTAGGTCTGGTCCAGTGTTGTTTTTTAACTCATTGCAGCATTGCATCTAAAAGTAATGTGGAAATTACTTGTTCTCCTTTTGATTTTTTTTGGCATGAAATACACACTTCATTCTTTTTTTGGTGTTGATGTTTTCTTATAAATCAGCATGTGGTACCATTTCTTTTTTTTCCTTTTTGAGTCAGAGTCTCTCCCTGTTGCCTAGGCTGGAGTACAATGGCATGATCTCAGCTCACTGTAACCGCCGCCTCCTGGGTTCAAGGGATTTTCCTGCCTCAGCTTCCCAAGTAGCTGGGATTACAGGCGTCCACCACCACACCTGGCTAATTCTGTATATTTTTACTAGAGACCAGTTTTCACCATGTTGGTCAGGCTAGTCTTGAACTCCTGACCTCATGATCCGCCCGCCTCGGCCTCCCAAAGTGCTGGATTACAGGTGTGAACCATTGCACCTGGCTATTTCTTATATTTTTTCCTCTGCCCTGTGTACCTTTTCTCTATCTCTATTTTTAAATTTATTTTATTTATTTATTTTTTTAAATTTCTGTATCTGTATATCTAGTCCCATTCCCCACTCTACCCCCAACTCCCTGAATCTACTTTGTGAACTTATCTTTCAAGGCTCAGCTTAGAAGTCACTTCTCTCAAGTTTTCTTCTGCACCCACAGCAGAATTAGGAGCTCCTTCTTACCTACTCCTGGTGCTGGTAGAGATATTTTTTTTTCCTTGAGACAGGGTCTTGCTCTGTCACCCAGGCTAGAGTGCAATGACAGGACCTCAGCTCACTGCAACCTCCGCCTGAGTTCTAGTGATTCTCCTGCCTCAGCCTCCTGAATAGCTGGGGTTACAGGCATGTGCCACCACACCCTGCTAAATTTTTTTGTATTTTTAGTAAAGACCAGGTTTCACCACGATGGCCAGGCTGGTCTCAGACTCTTGACCTCAAATGAGCCGCCTGCCTCAGCCTCCCAAAGGGCTTGGATTACAGGCTTGAGCCACCACGCCCGGTTGAGCTTTGTTTTTTACACTATTTTGGAACTGGTTTCTGCTCTGCCCATTAGAACAACCTTCTTGAGGGTAAGTGCTTTATCTTCTTATCTCTGACACATTCCATGTTTGGGCCTATAGTTGTTTTGTTTTTGTTTCTTTGTTTTTTGAGACAGAGTTTTGCTCTTACTGCCCAAGTTGGAGTGCAGTGGCACAATCTTGGCTCACTGCAACCTCCACCTCCCAGGTTCAAGCGATTCTCCTGCCTCAGCCTCCTGAGTAGCTGGGATTACACTTGCCACCATGCACAGCTAATTTTTTGTATTTTTAGTAGAAACAGAGTTTCATCATGTTAGCCAGGCTGGTCTCGAACTCCTGACCTCAGGTGACCCACCTGCCTCTGCCTCCCAAAGTGCTGGGATTATAGGCATGAGTCACCACACCCGGCCAAGCTTGTAGTTTTTATTATGCCCAAGAGGGTGCTTTTTAAGAAGAAAGAGATTAAATAATCCTTTCCTCTACGCCCTAGCCAGAAACCTTTCTGAAACATAGATGTGATCATATCTGTCTCTAGTTAAAAACCCTTCACTGGCTCCCAGAGCCCTCAGGATCAAGTCCAAACTCCTTTACATGGCTTGCCTAGTGTTTCATGATCAGGCGTGCTTTTGTAGCCTCATCTCATGCTATTTTCTGAAATTCTGTGCCCAAGCTTTGCCTGTGCACTTGCAGGCCACATTCTGTCTCTCTCCTTGGAGCTTGCTTATGCCATTCCCTTTGCCTAAAACACTCTTCTCCCACTTCCCTTATACCCTACAGCCTCCCTCTCCTAGTAAACTCCTAATTCGTTCTTCTGGACCTAGTTTTAGATGTAATTTCCTCCAGGAGGCCTTCATTTATGCATGCATGCACACACACGTACACACACCCTTCCTGTGCTTTTCATAACACATTGTAATTATCTTTGTCATCATACCATTTATAATTTCCTGTTTGCCTGTGTTCTTTTCTTGTCTATGAACAACTGGGGGCCTGAGGTTTATGTATTTGTTACTTGTATCCCTAGTGCCTAGAACCTAGTTAAGCGTATAGTAAATATTTGTTGAATAAACCATTGTTTCCCCAAACCTGTTTTCAGAATAGTGTTCAACAGGATGTTAAAAGGATGCCATGAAAAAGGAACCCCATAGTTAAAAAGGGAAATGCATTGTACAGTTCCAAGTGGGAACATAGACTATACTGTCCTATATTGTACTGTACTGCCCTGTCCTGGATGACAGTGGTTCTCAAATGCCAGTGTGCCCAACCCCAGAAATTTTACAGTTTTTGGGTTTTTTTTAATATATATATATTTTTTTTTGAGACGGAGTTTCGCTCTTGTTACCCAGGCTGGAGTGCAATGGCGCGATCTCAGCTCATCGCAACCTCCGCCTCCTGGGTTCATGCAATTCTCCTGCCTCAGCCTCCCGAGTAGCTGGGACTACAGGCGTGCACCACCATGCCCAGCTAATTTTTGTATTTTTAGTAGAGAGGGGGTTTCACCTTGTTGACCAGGATGGTCTCGATATATTGACCTCATGATCCGCCCGCCTCGGCCTCCCAAAGTGCTGGGATTATAGGTGTGAGCCACCGCGACCTGCCAATTTTACAGTATTTGAATGGAGCCCAGAAATCTGTTGTTTAAAAATGCACCAGGTTATTCTCATGGGAGGCCATATTTGCAAACCACTGGTACATAATGATTATAAAGATGTTAAATAAATTGTTGTGATTATAAAGATATGGTTAAAATATGTAATGCATCTGGAATAGTGCCTAGCACATACTGTTTATGCTATATTCCTGTTAACTGCTGCTGCTGTTGTCATTATTGTTATATGTGGCCATGAAACACATTTTTTGTGGCATATTAACATTTCACAAAACCTATTTTGGGAAAGGCTGAATTAAGCAAGTACTTCATTGCCACCTATATGCTGATGACATCCAGGTCTCTCTCTCTAGCCCTGACTTCTCCTGACCTCAAGATTTAACTCTTCAATTGGCTACTGGATATTTTTATATGGGTATCCGGAAAACAACTCAAAAATATCTGAAGATCCCAAACTTCTACCTCCATTTATATTTCCTAGTGGCATCACCATATCCTTGTCAGCCAAGCAGACAGTCTTGAAATCAACTTTAGTTTGTCTTTCTTCTTCAGCCTTCATATCCAATCAGTCACCAAATCCTACTTGTCTCACTTCAGAGGTGTCCTTCAAATCCATCCCTCTATTTCTGGAATTAGTTGTGACCTTTTCATATGCTGCTCCTTTTACCTAACCCTTGCTTTTCTGCCTGGCAAATTACTGTACACACTTAAACGTCACACCTCCACTTCCCTCCTCCCCTGACCCAGCCACTGCCATCCTGTAAAGCCTTCTCCAACTGGCCTGAGCAGAAGAACTTGTTCTCTTATCTTGTCCCAGTGCACTTTGTACATAATTTTATTATAGCACTTATCACTTTGTACTTTGTGCTTAACCTCCGCAGCCTCATTTTACATCCTCTCCCACTAGCATGTGAGCTATTAAAGAGCAGATGCCATTTGTGAGTCAGCCTCATATCTCCCGGCACTTGTTGGGTGCTTGGCATGTAGTAGAGGTTCAATAAATGTTTTCAATGAATTTAAACAACTAAGAAGGTCTAAAACTGGCATAATTCTTTTCTCTTTGTGCAGAGATTAGTACTGAAGAGCAGCTAAGGCGCCTGCAAGAGGAGAAGCTTTGCAAAATCTGTATGGATAGAAATATTGCTATCGTTTTTGTTCCTTGTGGACATCTAGTCACTTGTAAACAATGTGCTGAAGCAGTTGACAAATGTCCCATGTGCTACACAGTCATTACTTTCAAGCAAAAAATTTTTATGTCTTAATCTAACTCTATGGTAGGTGTGTTATGTTCTTGTTATTGCCCTGATTGAATGTGTGATTTGAACCGACTTTATGTAATCAGGATTGAATTCCATTAGCATTTGCTACCAAGTAGGAAAAAAAAATGTACGTGGCAGTATTTTAGTTGGCAATATCTTTGAATTTCTGGATTTTTTAGGTTATTAGCTGTATTATTTATCCAATTTTTTTACTGTTATTTAATTTAAACCCTAGACTAAGAAGCATCATATTATAACTGATCACAATGGGTATTCATAGTATACTGACTTAATTTCTAAGTGTAAGTGAATTAATCACCTGGATTTTTTATTCTTTTCAGATAGGCTTAACAAATGGAGCATTCTGTATATAAATGTGGAGATTACAGTTAATCTCCCCAATCACATAATTTGTTTTATGTGAAAAAGGAATAAATTGTTCCACAGTGGTGGAAAGATAGAGATTATTTTTAGAGGATTGTTGTTGTGTTTTAGGATTCTGTCCACTTTATTTTAACATTATAAGCATGTACTTATGCAAATGATTTTTTAAAGTGATTTGCCATTTTTGAAAGGGTATTTAATGATAGAATACTATCAAGCCAACATGTACTGACATGAAAAGATATCAAAGATATATTAAGTGTAAAATGCAAGTGGCAAAACACTATGTATAGTCTGAGCCAAATCAAAGTATGTATGTTTTTTACATGTATAGAACAAAAGATTTGGAAAGATATACACCAGACTGTTAAATGTGGTTTCTCTTCAGTGGGGTGGGGGAGGGACCCCAGAGGGGTTTTATAGGGGCCTTTCTTTT